ACGCGTGTGACCGAGGCAGACGTTGATAGGGTGCTGCATGAGCCGGAACATCAGGCTGCATAGGGTTGGTCAACTTCGCTTCTAAGCGCATCAGCTCGGGAGTCGTGAAACTGATGCTTCGGTTGACGCGGAACTTTGGGCTGACCTTGTCGGAAGTAGTCCAGTTAGAAACTGCCGTGGGATTGGACTGGCTTGTAAATGAGTCACGATTCGCTGAATCATAATGTTCGTAACTGCTGCGGGACATTTGTTCGGAAGGCGGTTGTGCATGACAAGCAGAAGCTGAGCGCTGATGCTGAACCGGTAGACCAGGCGTTTGCATTGCTTGACCAGTAAACATGGGGAAAGGCACACCAGAGTGCCAATAGGATTGCGCGTGATCCTTCAAATGAGTTTGATCTGCCATCGCTGGATGCATGACAGGATGATACGGGGTTTTGCTGAACTGATTCATATTAAATGCTTGGCTTTGTATCAGGGGAGAGAAATAATATGGCGAGTTCGTGGCTTGTTGTGTTAGATGCATTCTTGCCTGTGCTTCCGACGATACCGGATGCCATGGGATCCCCATTTGAGGTAATGTGGTATTGTTATCCAACTAAACGAGATGAAACGAGAGAAGAAAGTTTCTGAACCAGAACCACGAGAAAAATGAGCGAATGGTTGCAAACTTGGACCAGGTAACACCCTGGTTCAATTGTTGACCCGATTAAGAGGCGCGTACCTGATCGGATTGAGAGAAATACGCTGAATCCTGAACTTTAGTTGCCATAACGTAACAAACGACTTGTTTGCTCAACTGCCTACCGGGATCCCTAGTCCATAAAGACTTCTATTCTAGAGTCTTACAGCGATGGGCTGGTGTCGGTGCCAAGCTCCCATCGAATTCCACAACCTCAGATAAATGCAAACCATAAGTGGGGGGATATGAGTTGAGTCTGAACAAGTCATCCCCGGAAAGAAAGCAAGAGGACAAACAACGCGATGACCAAATCCCAGATAAGAAATTACCCATATCGATGATGTCCGAAATTAACAAGAGCTGTCCGAGCAACGAGGAGACAGTGACAGGTTTTCGACTGAGTTTTGTTGCGAAAAGTTTGCGTGCCTCACGAAGCAGGACAGGTAGATAATACGCATTATCAGTAAGTTGTACTTTATGCGTCTTTCATTGAGAGAACAACCGGTGTACGCCAATTTCAAGACACAGAGGGGTGGTATTAGTGCATTTTAGGGCATGTGTGCGTAGGAGTCTACGGTGTCTACCGAATTAAAAGGATGATTATAGACGCATGAAAAGTACGAAATAGGTTGCTTCGAGATAACGCCGGTACTTGAAACTTGACAGTGTCATATCATATAAGGTTTTCAAAACTACGTGCGAAGAGAGCCACACGAAGACCCTCCACCATCTCAGTTTGACGGTATTGTCTTTTATTTTGAGTAAACATGTCACATCCAACATAGGGTGATAAACAGAATCACCATGATCAAATGAACACTAGACACGCGTTCCTATTCTGAGAAACGTGATTTACTGTGACAGAACCAACTCAAAGAGTAGGCAGAAGATAGTTAGACAGATTAAGAAAATTAGGCACTGGAGGGGTCGTTGATGAATAAGACACGAGACCTTATGCAAATTGTAAAAGGGAATGTGATGTGTAAATGAAATGGCCGTACTATAGAGGAATAGGTTGTCACGAATCTCACCTGATATGGTAGAAAGAACATCCATTGTTGTCCACTAGCCTCCGAACCCAAGCTGTAGAATCCAGGTTGAACGACTACATTGGATGAGGGTGGTGGTGGTCCAGATGTAGTGGGATCGGATCGATCGCCCTCTGGGCCTGGATGCGACTGCATACCGGAGACCGGTACAGACGATTTCGATGCCGCTGGTGTAGGGTGAAGTTGTTGTGGGTATTCAGTTGCAGTGGTGGATGGGTAGGCGGGAATAGAGGAGTCGAGTTTAGGGTTGAATGGCTTTACTGATCCATCTTCGTAGTGGGTTGTTCGGGCCGGCTGAGATAAGACCGTTGATATCTCACTGGACGTGTTGTTGTAAGGTCGGGTGGAGTCATCTGCTGTGTCGACACTAGTAACAAAATTGCTCATCACAGATGAGCTAAGGGAAGCTGTGTACGTATCGTGGGGCAGGTAGGATGATGTTGTAGTCGCTGGGACGTGTTGACTGATTGGCACCTGCTGCTGCGGAACAAACGGTTGTGGCCAATATGCAGAGGGAGTATAGTGGGATGATGGTTGGTTTAGAGTCTGCTGTGGCATAAAATAGGCGCAAACATATCCGGGAGGGGGCATGCAGGGATTGTGCAACTGATACTGTCTCAAAGGTCCCGTACTCAAGGACTGACGCATGGCCGCTGTATCGGGCTCTGTATCGGGTTGATGCGAAGTTTGATAGGGAGCTAAAGCATCAGAGCAGACGTCACCAGGCATAGCAGATAACTGTTGAGTAGGTTGCCTCTGTACCAGAGTAGACGCCTGTTGAGCGTTTGGATGCGGTTGAGAAAAGAAAGGTAATAAATGCTGATTGGACGGACAAAAAGTGGCCGCTGCGGCGGCCGCTGTTGCAGCTGCTGCGGCAGCAACTGCTGCTGCCGCGGCTGCTCGACGGCGTTCCTCCGCAGGACACTGTGGGCAGCTATTAAAACTGCTCACATGAGGGTGATCTGAGGAAGGACAATATGGGAAGTAGTACTCAGGGAAGACGGGGACCCCAGATGGAGGATAGACGACAGACGATGAACAAGGAGATGCGAAGCCAGAGGAACCAGGAGGTAATGTGTGATGATCTCCTTGTCTTAATGGTGATTGGAACATTTGTCCGGGGTTCAGAGTGGTAAATTGTGGTGGACCTAGTGGCGTAACACCTGGATGACTGTGCAGAGCCTGTTGACCTAACAGTCCCTGAGGGTGATCAAAACTGGCAGGAAAGTATTTGACTGGCCTATGATCGGTGGAATCGGGTTGCTGACCTACTGGTACAGCTGCATCGGCACGATCAGACTGAACAGGTACACTCTTCTTCTCGTCCATTGGAGTTGCCTGGATGATTGCATCCGCGGACTCATAAGCTCGAGTAGTGTACAACTGGTGAGCAACCCCGTTTGCGTTTATCCTACACACACTATGCGCCGTGTGCTTGTCTCGCGTAGCTCTATTGCTGATGTGGTCATTCAAGACTGCTGCTGTCCTTGCTGCGGAAGCATTATTGCCATTGGAAACAGCTGATAAACTGACTGAGGATGGGTCAAACTCCGCTGTTGTGTGAGCTTTTGGTCTGGAAGACAACCCCGGGCCGGAGCGTATCCACCGGCCATGACACTCTCCGTGAACTGCCTCATTGCTACCCAAATTGGCGCTCAGTTCGTCAACCGAGTAGGATGAGCTTTCCTCTTCACGATATCCATTGATCACCCGGCCACGGCCTTTGACTTCTGAGAGACGATCTTCATCAAGCTGCTCCGTATCATCTACATCTGATTGGGATGGTCGTGAGTTGTCCTGTACATAATTGCGCTCAAACAGTCGGGAGTAACCACCAGCCTTTCCACCGCTCCGACTTGACAAGGATTCGGGAAGCATTCGAACCGATGGAACCTCGAAGATCGATGCAGCTGAGTGGAAAAAAACAGAGCACATAATAAGTCCAGAAATGCGACAATATGATCTCACCATACCGTTTCCATTCGCTTTCGCTACCGTTAGCTCATTCAAGCCACATCCCGTTCCATGTTCATTTCATATAAAGTTCTATGGCTCTTATGCAATATATATATATATATACTTATAAGATGCAAGTAAGACACACACGTGGCTACATCGTATCACCCAGTAATCAGATTCGTCTGTACAACGACGGTCGAAGACAGTCACTTTTAGCACCGTTGTGGGCTTAACACCCCAAGAAAACTGCTGACTGTCCATCGCGAAGCAGAGTTGGTAGACTGGTGGTCAACCGAATAGTCGCTCTATCTCAATACCCGACAATTCAACAGGCGACCGGGTCCTGCTGGACACCAGTGCCGAGGCGCCTATAGATTCTGGCAAAGATACCACCTAGAACCAGCACTATTCACTTCCAAGGTGGTCAACACTGTCCATATCAAAGACTATGGTTAGGATGACAAGGCCCTGGTCATTCACCAGTGCTGACACACAATGTTCAACAAACAATACCGACTTCCACACCCGTTTTTTTACATCAGGCAAATAAAACTTTTCGCCATCAGTCGGTCAACCACAGAGATTCGAGTTATTGATAGACACTAGTGGTCGTTGGCTTGTTCGCTGAGCTTGGCAATTTGATTGATGGTTGTTGATAACCACTAACCCACCGCTACACCACTACGGTACCCAATAACGCATTGATGATGTCACCTCGATTGGTGATGAAACGTTTGCAATCAAAATGCCCAGCTCAGCGAACAAGCCAACAACCATCCATGCTACCTGAGCTTCTAACATTTTCCTCTATAGATAGACACTAATTTTGTTGCAAACACTCTATTCCGTGCACATACACATATTCTAGGCTCTGCCTCTTTTCACCTAACCGCCCTTTCTCCTACCGCAGCGTAGATTTTGACATTTATCCCACATTTCGTGATCATTCGTTTTATGCTGGTAATTCAACGGCCACTTGTGATGATTCAACAGAAAAGCTGCAGTTGTACTTTCCTCCCGATTTTCTTAGACATGGTTTTTCGACTTCCACCCTCGTGCAAAAACAGAAATAGCTGGTTGTTTTTTTTGTAGCCACTCTTTATGGATGAAAAATTATACTATCTGTCAAAGAAGTAACTTTCAGAGACCTGACAGCACCATGCTAGGAACTGTTCTGACTCCCGTTTTAGATAGGTTCACGCTGATCTGATCTGGTTTATCCATTACTACCATCCAATGGTTCTATTTATATTCTCACCGGTGTTGATAATCGACCCAAGGCAACACCCATCCGTGAGATCACTGGTCAAATAGTTTGTGGGAAAACTTGTGGAATACTGGGTGTCAATTTTTACAATTCCTATAACCATCGCCAATGGTCGTAATTTCTCAGTCTTATTCCAACCCGTTCCGAGAGTTATATCAGTTGTTGGGAAGTGATCATTTCACAGCCAGTGTTCATCACCCCGATAACGATGGCCCTGAAAAACACATTCATTACCAAATAAATGCTGCCATCACGACGTTGACCTTCACTGCACATTGGTTGCTGGGTGTTCTTTTTGGAGTGCGCAACATCGTCAAGAAAGATCAGGGCCGCCCACCTGCGGAACTGGTAGTTGGCACTAGCCCCAAGTTACTTGGAGAGACGGTACTAAAACTAGGTGAACTCAATCTCGAATTCTTCGCTCACCATTTGAAGCAGCATATTCGCAAATACACAAAGATATCCAGCCGCGCGCTTTCGTTTTCGCCCACGATGATCCTGTTTTCAGGCCTCTACAATCATCATATGGTATTACTTACAAGGCTATGTATTAGTCGTCCAGACAAACACGGTTAATGGTCATGACTATCGACCCGATTCTCTCGGTACTGACCGTTCGGAAGTTGCATAATTCCATCCCTGGCGACTATTTTTACTGATCCACCTTTCACAATACCTAATACTCAAGTCCTTCGTAGTTAATTTATGTCACGCACCGAAAACAATCACGCCTCGGCCGTATTGTTAAGCCACCTAGAAGTTATGTTCCTTTACGACCAATGTTTATCCAGCACTGCCACTGGGCAAAGAACCATCATGTTTTCTTTCGTCTCTCCTACTGTTGATTTTCCGCCTATTGCACTGCATATACATATATATATATATGTATATATATATATATATATATATATATATGTATATATATATGTGCATGCGTGCGGTAGCATGCTCCGTACATCTACTCCGCCACTCTTATTGTTACTCAGGCCTGGACTCCGTTATTAATCGATTGTGGTTCCGTATGACTGGATCGATGATCACCGGTGTAAGGACGTCTGGTCGCAATCACTCCTATCGTGGCCAACTGGCTCTCCGGAAATTTAAAACCATAGAAACCACATGTGCATGTGAATTTTATTGCTAGACTTTGATCGCTTATTATCATCCGTCGTTACGGGACCAGTGTGTTGGTCTTAGGTTCCCTGTATAACTGCTCAGCTCGATGGGATTCGGACGCGCAACATTCAGAACCCGCATGGTTTTCGTTGTTACTTATACCTTCCATAGTTCAGATGGAACACGGTCTCAACATGATCTTAAATCACCTGCATAAAATCCATCATATTTTTAGACCTAGGAAGCATATTTTTGATCACAATATCATCCTCATTTCAGTTGGTCCCGTGTAAAGACTAATGGGAGAGAGATACCATTTGGTGCACAAACATGTCTGACTAGCTTGCCTTGCCAAAATGAACATGAGAAACTGGACACGAGTGGTGCACGTCATCAGAGTCAAGTAAAGCATGCAAAAAAGAACGCCTAAATCACTCTTTCGCTAAAACAAGCAGGTGATTACTGATATTGGTGCTGAGTCTTACGTCACCAACCTTTAGCAAATCTATGTAAAGGTGCCAAAACGCATAAACTAGAAAAAAATTGATCCACGAATTGATCAAATCCGGAAGGCAGTGTCTGGTTAGGCAAAGAGGAAAGATTACGCTATGGGCGACCTTGTCACTCCATTACCGTAATTTGACCACTACTGATCTGAAACAACATCCAAGTCTAGACGGAACATACAACACAAATGCTCCCAGTTTTAAACCCAAGGTTCAGAACTAAAGACTACCCACCGTACGCACCGGCAATAGATAAAACACTCCAAAGAAACAAATAAAAATCCTTGTTCTATAAAACTGGCAGCTCATGCGATGACCTCAGACGGAGTGGTGTGGCCTAATGACCACTGAGTGATCTCACTTAACCAGGGTCGGGCGTAGAAAAACTAGGTTGAGGGGCAAACCAAAGGAGAAACGTGCGTCAAATTATCGTTATCGGTTCGGTTTGTTCTGATATTCAGTTTCTACCCATAACAACCGTTCAGACATATCGCCTTGAAAAGTGAACCTCTGATGTGGCTAAGATGGGAAGTATGGAGGCCATCGATGTCCGATAGTTATGAGTAGTCTAGTCAAAGCATCAATCGAAGCGAGTAAGTAACTCTGTGCAAAACAGTGAAGAAATTGCATGAGATGCAGACGGCAAAAGTATCATAAATGGACGTTGTGGACATTGACCATAGCAAACACCCTTCTTACTATCGATGACCAGAAACGTACGGATTTGACTATTTCGGACCGTTTCTTTAGACCAAGTCACCAAAATATTCATGAAAATCAAAACACTCACTATCCGGTAAACAAGCCAACTGCGCAGTTGGTAAAGAACTGGCAAAGTACGGTGTTCTCATCGCATTTCGTGCGCTGATACGTTTGGAAGGTGGTAACTGCAACAGTTGTGCCGCCAGGGCCTCTGAATGTGGAGCCTGGTTCAACCGAGGAATGACACGATGCAACGGTCGACTGGGGTACCACTGCAAACGACGATGCTTTGTACTTGTTGATGAACCACCAGACTCGGCCACCTTGGAAGAGTCATCCGACTTATCCGATCCACTGCCACCTCGTGTACCTCCAGCGCTTAGGCTGCTTCGAGAATGTTCATGACGTAGTTGTTGTGATTTGGGAGTCTGTACACCCGAGACATTTTCCTCCAAGTGCCCCAGGAGCATTTTGTATTTCGGAAGCTTGGATACTCCACGCCATGTGGTTTCTGAGGGAGTGCCCATGATCTAAAATGCGTTGGATATGTGGATATAAAGATGAGTGATAAATATTCTATTAAAAATTACCACAGAAGACAGAAAAATAGGTGAAATGAATACGAACAACATAAAACCCGTGCTTCATACTGGAATAACGGTTACGTTTAAGCTTAGTTTCCAGTCTGATCCTTCCAAGCTAGCATTTTCAGCAGAGGAACAACCAACGGTACACGGAGTGAAACTCAAAGCAAGTCGAAAAGCCCATGTACGGCGCATCGTATTAAAAGTGCGAATCACGGTAACATAATGGAAACTCAGACACCCTTTGGACACGCCAGTGGCAACCGGCATCCAGCGGGTACTGGAACATGGTCGGCTGTTGGGTCTATAATTTCGACCAATCACGCATGAATTAGGCTTGTTGGCCATTGCAGTGCCTAATTGTGAGAGATACGGTAGTTTGGCCTCGGGTTTCGCCCAGCATAAACACATACTACAATCAAAGCAGAAATACTTAGCTACCAAGCGGCGAGTCACTCCCTGTAACCCAAGCGGCCTGACAGAACCACCAAATTGGAATGTGCGAATAGTACAGAACTGAAGAGTGTGAAAGCAAATGAGTGGACAATATTTCATCGACAAAAAGAATACAAAGTCAAGTGGTAATGGAGCTCAGCAGCACAACACTTCTGACCACTGGTAGGGTTGTCCCAGTTGCGTGTCTAGAATGTCTGTCAAAGAGCTTTGATCAACCTAATGAATAGTGCTACGTCAGGAACCTAATGACGCCGTTTAAAGGTGGGAGGATACCTGCGGTTTGAGCTATATTAGACAACCGAACGGCCAGTTAATGTTACTGTTTAGTGACTGGTTTTATCACTGGACTGGCGTTGGGTTACAGTGGTTTTATCCTCAATCGAGCTACATCAATGGAAAATGTGTGGAATGGTTGGGTGCCCATGTTTATATACGCATAGCCAGCTAGGACTGACCCTCGATTGTGACTGATTTTTTCATATGAGGTACAATTGGATGGCTCGGCAAATTGCATTTTAATTGGCTTGTGTACGCGAGTTCTCTCACCTCCGTTAGTTGGCACTTCAATGAAGCTCATAGAAAAGATCTAAACACCAACTTCAGGGATAAAACAATCAAGCAGATAGTCCTTCCATACCTCAGGAGAATAGGGAAATCTACAGCAATATAACTACATCAAAGAGGAAGCATGGCAGGCCGCAAACTGATGACCATCTGAAGTAAACCGATTTCAACGCCGCAGAAAACTGACCAAGGCAGCAGCAACAGCACAGTATACCAAATCAAATTTAACAAGCCTCATGATGTACAAACAGAATTCAGACTACGTACGTGGATAAGAAAACACAGTGCGGCAAACAGAACAAATGATCCGTTGCCGTTGATCTCTGCGCGAGAATCAAAGAAGCCAATCCGATTTGGAAAACGGAAAACCTTGATACGCGGAGATATATAACTTTTAGCACTCTTGGACGGATTAAATAAATCTTCACGCTGAGTTGGTCCCAATATACATATTATTATTTACAAACACTCAACCAAAACAACTGAACGAGGCTGAATGTGCAACGAAGGAACCGAAAAACCGAAATCCTCTAAAAGCCGAAGCTCACTCGAGTGTCGATCAATGAACGGGTTTCGAAGAGGACAATGTCAATGAACAAATGGAGGTCAGCCAACCAGAATGCAAGCTAACGAGTCATTAAACGTCCCTACCTGTGCATACAGCCAATCACAATCAACGGTGCATCCGGTACGGCTGGCTACCCGTGCGTTTGTAAACACATGCACGCAACTGCTCAGCGCATTTCCATGGACGCACCACTCCGCCCCTCACTGACGATGTCATCTCCAGTGGGGCTAGAAAATTTTCAAACTAAATGTCTAGTATAAAGAAAACCAGTGGCCAACTATACAACCCGACATACAATTTTTGGCTTTCGTTGACAAAACTGTTGAGGAGACTTGAGATAAACGACAGTCAGCTTACACCGACGTCCATGAATCATAGCGGCATCCAGCGAGGTTGGTCTTCCGCAGTGATTAGCAGTACAACTCTGGATAGAACAGAATTACCAACGCACCGAAATGCTTACTACTTACGTCAGCCTCACCTGTATTTAGCACTGTCTCGCTAAAAGTTGCAAGTCCGATGGTGCAAATTACAAACGCGAATGCGATGGGCGGAAACATTTTGAGCTCATATGTTTTCCAAAGGTTGTTAACAGAGTTCCAGACACGGACGGTGATGCTCTAAAAACGTTTGAAACCTCACTCAGACAAGTGCCTTGTGTTCTGTGCCCACTCCTAGGCCCCTGTGTAAAATACCCCGTATGTAGCCGAGTGTCTACTGTCCGGGTGGCAGTAGTCAGAAGTTAAAAACTTTCCGGTGGGCATACAGTTGTGGACCTTTTTGGCGCGCATCAGTTAACGGAATGCACACGGCTGATTGTAACATCTTCGAGAAGAATACACCTTTAGGACTACACAACGATAGATTATTATCCAACTATACATTGATGACCACCTCGAACAGCGACGAAAAGTGTGACAGAAATTGCCACGCTCAGTGGACAATTCAACCTGGAAATAGACTATCTGGAATGTAGTGACGAAATTCTTCACAAAATTTACTTCCAATATGAACATTGAAGGGTAATCGTTGATGGGCTGATGAATGGATTGAGTTTTCGTCATATTTTTCCCCCGACACGGGTCAAGACAAGTAACTACTGTGACAGAAGCTTCAGAGTACCCTAGAATAAACCCTACAGACAGGCGACTGGTCACTTGACTGTAGAGTCGAGAAACACAAGCGAAAGCGGCATCCGCATCGTACAAAAGACCACTCTCAAACACAAACGGATTCAAATAGGTGCACCAGTGAGTCCAATTAGTGAACGCCCGCGACTACTAGCAGTCATTCGCTCAAGAATTCTTGACCATATACGAGACGGTGGGTTCGCACGAAGGTAGTGTTGTAGTGAACTAGTAGTCCCAATGAATCATTTCATATTTCTGTGTGTACTAATCCGAAAGACTTGGACTAGAACTCCGTTCACCCGGTGGTGATGCGATAAGAAAACGCTCAATCGAAAAGTAAATCTCAGCCAGCCGAAGGTTAATCAATAAGACAAAACGAGAAGCTGAGTATGATGGAATGGGGAGAACTAGGGTGCTTCCCTAACAATCCCACAGACGTTGCTTTATCCGCAAAAGGGCACAACCGGAGGAAAATAGGATTATTGCGATTTTTAATTAGAAAGGCGAAATAGATGTATGGGATGGTGGTGGTGAGTTTGGCTTGCTGCATTGAGTCGATTGCCATCACTCTCTGTCAACCAATTTCTTTAGGCACGGTGACGAGGTGGGAGAGAGAGAGTGAGAGAGAAATAGGCCAAAATGAGAACCAAAAAACTCGAAAAATCGTTGGTAACTATTATTGGAAATCCGACTATGGTGTGATTCAATTACCCGCTCACAGTTTAACCTGGCGCTGGGGAACGCGTGAGTGAGGACGAACTAAGCAAAAATGGAAGGCGAAGCCTGTCCAAGAGTCAGTTGAGCAGCGACTTAGAAGCTGATGCAATCGAGGCCTAGTGAACCATTGCTTTGTTCCTATCTGTCTGAACACTACGGTCCGAATAAGTTGGAGTTTCGACAAAAACTCAGTGAGGTGTGTGGCGCACTGAGTGGGAGATAATAGAATATAGTTGTGGATGGATGTCAGATTATAAGTCAAGAAAATGACCTCAAAATTTGACTAAAGTGGTTGAACGAGAGAGTGGCGAGGGCAACGTGTGATGAAACACAGTAGAGCAGGTGAGGAATGAAGAGGAACTTACACGAAAAATTTTATCCAGCTGATCGACTGCATCTTTTGAGCCTGGAAAAGTGGCCACCCCGGAAACCATCTCCGTGAAAATACAGCCGACACCCCTAGATGTAAGGAAAATAAGGATGAGGACGATGGTGTACGGCAGCAGAAGCAAATAGATTCCGAGGATAGGACTAATTTGGCCGATAAGCAGAGACGGCCTTTCCCAAAACAGAGATATTAGATTTAAAACTATATTCACCACCTTTTTCATGCTAGGAACCCAATTACGTCCGGATATCAATGGGGGTAGAGACCCTTTGTACAATATCGATAGTATATAGATGACAGCGTTTGTTCTCAGAAGACTCATACTGTTCCGCGAAGGACGACATAGCAAGTTCCGTTGGATTGGACAGGTCGGAATAAGTCACGACAAATAGAACAAGGCAACATGGTAAACGTTTCTGTGGATTTTAAAATTGTGTCACAAACTATCAACCCGGGGTAAAGATATTAGAATGCATAATTAAGAGGTGTGAAGTAGAGTTTTGTAGGAAAGCAGATATCCAGCATCCGAAGCGGATCCGACGGTCAGCAGTGCCCGAAGCATTGAATACCTGGGTATAATTCGTAGACCATGAGAGATTTGAGCAGAGATGATGGGGTGTTACTTGCAAGCCACCGATACCGACGTAGAATTGAAGGAATAAGGTGGGTCGGCAACCGCACACAGATCTGTTGCCTAGTCCCCAGTAAACCTGAACATGATGGCCCGGCAGCATGCAGGACACTAAATAGTTGTCTATTAGAGAAGTGTCGGTCTCATGCGCCATCATAATTTCGGTAGAGTTTTATCCCATACCTCACAGAAACAGCGAAGCGTTAAAACTTCTTTGGTATAAAATGCGGTTGTTGGCCCCCTATTTACAGAGTATAGTTAAATACACAGCGTCCCAAGGAGAGAATGACTTTGACCAGTCCCAAAGGTGTGTATATAATTTGTACGAAGACATGAGCCACCAGATTTGAGGTGTTGATCGATTCACACGAGAGATCCTCGTTAGGACATCTCATGAATGCTAAGAAGCAAGCGTAAGGCACATTTGTCGTTCGGCGTTATTCCCATCAAACCTCGATCAAACCACGTACTTGGGCATCATATTGACTAAAGAGACTATATTTGTTTGAAGAACTGTGGAACAAAAACTATCGGTGAGAACTGCCTTACGCGATGAAGTCCACGTGATATCTCCTCTGTATGGTTAGAAACTTTGCAAGTTATGGCTGCCAATCCATGTCACTGGCGATATTGTTGTTAGTTTCTATCCAGATTGCCTGAATGAGTGTCTGGAGGTGTAGGTCCGTTGGAGTGATTGTAGTAAGCTAGCACTAAGTCTTTTTGCGTCCTTTTTTTATTCTTTTCTTCACAATAAGTCTTTCAAAGAAACTGTGGTTGGATGGCAGTGTCGAACAATGTTGTACTGTCAATGATAATGATGATGACGAGTGTTTCATCTCGCTACAATTTACTCGACAACCGCTCCTCCAAGAGAAGGAGAGACAGCGGAGCTCGCTAAGGAGAGGGTTGTCACATGGTAAGAAGACGGACAGTACGACTGATACCGTACAGCCATCAGAAATTGACTTGCTATTGCCTAGCTGATGTATGCACATGTAGGCCACGCACCCGATTGTCTATCGACCAGGCATGAATCACCAAATGCCTGGACGGTCAAACAACATCCACGGCTTGTCAGAGCAAGCAGCTACCCTGTCCCCCAGATGTGCGTCTAAAAATTCGCACGGAAGCCAAGCAGAGCATAAAGCAGTAGGAGATGAGAATTCATCGACTCATGTCCAAATAATATGAGTGTGAAGATAACATGCTTGCTGTATATTCACAGTGAGACCAGGTATTCATAGACGACCGTTTCATAGATGAGCTTCCGCTCGTCAAAGCGGAAGACCCGGAGAATTAATGTACAGACGAAAGCACCCACTCGCTTGAATTTTGAGGGGATTGACAAACCGGTCACGTGATAACGTCACTCATAGCTGGAGGATATCTCATCGAGAGACCGGCAGTAATGGCGCGCCGCGAAAATTATATACTATCTTTCAAGACTATATGTGTGATTCCAAATGTATAGAACAAAGAGAAAATCATCCAACGAAATGATGAAACTCACCAGGAGAAAATTCTATGACTAATCTTGTCACTGAAAAATAAGATCTGTAATCTCAACCCTAAAACATTGAAATTCTGCAAATAGCTGAAAGACGTAGCTGCCAAATGTACTCGAGGGGGCGACAAACAGTGGAAAACAGAAAAATAACTGGAACAAAAAAAACAGAGATTTCGGGCCCTAGGTTGTCTGTTGGATGATCGAAACAGACTTTACAAAGAGAACTTTGACAGACGTGGGAAAGGACAAAAATTATTTCATTCGTTGCCTTAGCTAACCGAACCACTCCTAACCCTAAGTCATTGCTTTTTGTGCATCACATGAGAGCTCGTCTCAAAGTAACCACAGAATGACCATATCAATTCATCAAACAATGTGAAACTAAGGTCTAGGCTTTGGAATCGGTCAGCTGTTCAATCCGGGCGGGACACATGTCATCCACAGTATAGTCTGAATGCTTACTCCTCTCAACTGTGGAGCAGTCGAAATCCCGTCTTGTTTACAGGAAAACATCTCTAACTTAGCGGCATACCAACTTGGGTGACCACCGTATGGTTGAGATACTGGACTATCAGTTCCACGACCAAGATTCGAAGCCCACCTGGAGGACTTTCAGTAGGCTTTTATCCTGATAATCTGTTCACATTCTGTTTGGGAAATTAAGAGGAGGAAAAGAAAATCGTTTACACCTACACAATGCCCAGACAACTAGCCAGGTTTCCGAGGCGGAACTTGAACAAAGGATTGATACAAACGTGTCCACGTTTGTTTTACTCAACATACAACGCAGAGAAAGAGAAATCCTGGTCTTTCAAGAACCGAATTTCACAAATATGGGAAGTTCAGGGGTTAAGGGACATTCCAAACATTTGGCGATCACTGGTACCGAATTTGAGAAATCCGATGTGGCGCGTGTGATTTACATTGCATAGCCCGCCTTCACATAGGAACAGCAAACACTGAGCCACATCCCACAGTATTTAGACGAGTGTTTCAGGTAGTAGTATACAAAGGAAGTTCATAAGCGCAACCTGGCTGGTATAGAGAGGGCAAGAAAATGCGTCACCTTCACTAGGTCCCAAACTAGACTATTGCCGTTCGGTACTCTCGATGCTTTCTGTTCATTGCTAATGAGATCATCGTGGTGGGTCCTGTACTTTTCGAATGTATCTGTCTTTCCGGGGAGGGGGGGAGACTGCCCACCTATTCGCGCGATGGATAAGATACACGTCTACCACAAGGCTTTTTGATCATTTCCATTTCCAGTGCACCGTAGGTAAAACGAAGACGATTCCCACATGAGAAATAGGTGTTTCCGGACAACCAGCAGGTAAACCGGAGGTGGAAAACACGGTGAGCATTGAATGTTGTCAATATGGAGGCTAACCGATGCTAGTGGTGCTCATGCTGTCAGTTATTATCCAGATTGTCCAACTGGCTATTGGCATATCGGATGTTTGTAGTAGGATATCTTAAGATTCCCATTTTTCCTTATATTTTAACCCTCTATTCAAATAAATTAACCTGGTTTAATGCCAGCAAAAGCACCAGTGCTCCTATTTGGTGTTGCTGAAATTGACGACGATAATTTTCGCGACCATTTATCAGTTTTCCTCTGCTAGTGAGTGTGTCCAGGAAACACTGACTAGTAAACATGAGTCTTCTCGAGCTCTTCGGTCGGCTGGAAAAGTCCGACGCTCTAGGAATAAACCTGAGGAGGATAGGCGTGAAAATTTAGCCGGTTCACCGGCTGTTAACTACGTACCAAAGGTACATTGGTTCAACTTCTACATTTTCGGTCACCGGAAGCTGGAAGCGTGGGTCACACAGCCAAGCACTAGAGGTGATGGCATTATCAGTTGCTGTGTATTACATATTGCTCGAGGGGGACGGGAAACTGGGCAGCTGTGTACTGAAGGCGGAAGCTTTGACGCACCAGAACTACTGGTTGCGTGATTGAGCCAGTGTCAATAAGCAGTGGTGTGTCCCAAGGTCTCTATCTAGGAAAGCGGCAGTTGTCGACCGGACTAAGTTTACTGGTCAGTGTTTTCACACTTTGATACCAGGTCATGCACTGTACACCTCTTGGTCGCTTTCATTCAGCACAGGACTGGACGAAAAGAGCTCTTCGAGGCAGATAGTCCTCTGGCATACGAAGTACATGTCCTAACCAGCGTAATTTATGAGGCGTAATTAGCTCATCCATCACAGGGAAATTTCATTTTCCTAAAACCATCTGGCGTACCTCAGCATTGCTATTACGATGTTTACAACAGAGCAGACCAATGATTTGGACACCAATGGTCAAACACTGACAGCTTCCATACGTCTTCTGGGCGTAGCGGTCGAGTTTCTGACCCATAAAGCATTATGGATAGCCCCACCGTAGAGTATACCCTACCCTTGAAAAACGGACATCGCGTTGATATCATAGGAGTTAAAGGTTGAAAAACGCTGTCTAATAATGATCGTTCAGCTATAGCACACTTCTGGTGCCTATTTGCCATGCCACCCGGGGTAAGTACGAGGGCTGAGATTTTGCAAAGCTGCCCAAGTCTAGACAGTGGCAGTCAACGTGCAGGGGTTGGGTGCGGACCACGAACCTTGTAGCCGGTAAGTTCGCGTGCTAACCACTGAGCAATTTGGAGCTGAAGAAAAAGGGGACCAAATAATTTTGGCGGAAGAGGAACGCTAGAGGTCGCAGGAGATGCTTCGTTGAGGCTCACACAAGAGGGAAGATAGATGCCGCAGTAAGCCCTATCCGCATCAGACGACCAAATAAGGCGGAAGAGGAACGCTAGAGGTCGCAGGAGATGCTTCGTTGAGGCTCACACAAGAGGGAAGATAGATGCCGCAGTAAGCAAGCCCCGCATCAGAGACTGAGTGGGCAGTGTTGGACATATATATATATATATAT